CCAGTTCAGCTGATTACTACCTTATTTCCATCTGTACACATAATTTCCCTTTGCCATGTAACATAACGTGGTCACAGGTCCTGTAGATCAGGACATGGATGTCTTTTGGGGGCATTATTCTGCCAACCACAGAGGACACACACTTCCCTGTTAACATCGTGCCCTGGAACTTGCACGCAAATCCTCACACTCACATCCTGTTGATCAGAAGTTAGTTACACGATCACACGGACTGCAGGGGAGGCTGAGTGCAGTATTCCTAGGCAGGCGGCCATGTGCTGGCTCAAAACGTGGAGGCCGCGCTCCCCCTGGCAGCACATCTACTGCATGGAGTTCTGTTCCCCAAAGGAAGAAGTGGTAAATGGATATTGGACAGCAGTTTCCAGCCTGTCCCCACAAAAGCTCATGTGTTTTTGCCAGGATCTGCCTTTGGATTTCCTTCACGCCACTGTGCCACCTTGGTGCTTTTCTTACCCGTTTTCACCTACTGGCTCTGAGCTGCCCTCACCTGCAATTAGCGTCTAATCTGGAACAAAAGAGAGAATCGGCTCCTTAAATGGACTCTACCAGCTACCTCATAGTGACTTGTTTCCTGATCTTTACTTACATTGACTTTCTGAGGTGACTAGCTGAGTTCCAGAGGCTTTTCCCTGGCCTCTGGAGTTCAAACTTGGCTGTCTTACTCCTGCCCCCTGCTCCTGCCCTGCTCCGAGATGCTTACCTTCCATCCCAGCTTCACCATGTTGGTCCCTCACATACCTTATCAGATTTCCCAGTGTATTGGGTAGATGTGATTTCTGGTCAACTCAAATTACAAAACTATTAGGACAATATAATCGAAGGAAATGTATGTAGATTGATATAGGTAAATAATTTATATAAATAACTAAAATGTATCATCTAATCATATTTTCAACTGACTGTGTGTGTACAGGTGCTTTACCTATTTTAATTCCTTTTTTGTTTTTTTTTTTTTGGCTGCTCACATTTACCCCTCTAAGGTAGGAGGCAGAGCCATGGCTTCTACAATGACAGCTGATGAAACTCCCTGTAGGCAGAATGCACGGGTCTGAAACCAAGACTGGAAATACATGTGACTCTGCTCACAATTACAGCCGAGTAATTAACAGGCAAAATCTTTACTTTCTGTACCTATGACTTTGGGCTATGGTCTCAAGGAAGTTTGTTTTTATTGTATGATCCAAGGCTTGTTCTACTGTATTGGAATACACACCGCTACCCAGTTATTTCAGGATCCTCAAGCTAAAGGAAAAACAAGCAAAGGCCTGGTTCAGTGGCTCATGCTTTTAATCCTAGCATTCTGGGAGGCTGAGGCAAGAGGATCACTTGCGCCTGAGTTTGAGGTTACTGTGAGCTGTGAAACAGTGGCAGTCTACTGAAGATGATAAAATGAGACTTTGTCTCAAAAAAGCAGGCAAGAAGAAGGAGGGTGTTTTATAATTTTGGCTGGGGTGATTGATCTTGCCTCTTAAAGGGAAATGGAGCTGCAGTGCTTGGTGGCAGCAGGGAGGTGTGCCTGGAACTGGGACAGTGCTTACACTGCCACATCCAGGAGAAAAATGTAAGCGTGGCCTACCTCAGTGTCTGCAAGACCTGCAAAGGCTCAGAATCTTCAGGAGACAGGGTTTGGGTCACCCTACCTGGTAAAGGGATGCTCACTGAACCAGGGGGAACATGGAATGCGCAGTCAAGGGAGAGTGTGAATCTCAGCAGCAGCTCCTGAGCAGTCACAGAATGAAGCCTGCAGTTTCAGTCGGTTTCTCCATATGCCTTGTCTGTCTGTATTTATATTCTTAATTATCAAATATATTTAATTTCCTTTTTATCTCCCTTCTTTAGATTATAAAGAATGAAGCTCGCTGGAAGCGACAGCCCCAGCACTTGCTGTGCTCGGTGAGTGAGGAGACTTTGGGTTGGTTTCCCTGGGAGACAGGCTGGATGTGCTTTCCTTTTGCTGGGTGCTACTTTTTGTTTGGTTGAAGCATTTATTTTTGTTTTAGAAGGGAAAATGGCATGAAGAATGCCTTAGGATATTTGGAAGCCACAGAGATGGACTTTAATTGAAATTGGTAGTGTTTTGATGCCTGGCATCAAAAATCTTTCCTATCATGCCTCCGAGTTTCCAAAGATAGGTGGAGGCACAACTCCCTTCATAATACCAAAGCCCAAAGGGGCAGGCATTCCCTCTACTTACTTGATGGCAACCAGGGCAGGGGAAAAGGCTTAGTGTCCAACTGGGCACTCCTCAAAGGGATATAGAGCCACACAAGAGAGACCCAGATGCGGAGACAGCTGGAAGTCCCTGAGATGGGGGAAGTGTCCCACCACTGGCATCCTAACCCGAGTGAGTGTGCTAAGCTGTGGTCTTGGGAATATTCCCAGATGCATAGTTGTCCTTACTTGTGATTTCTCCAGCCATTTCTTTAGTTTTGTGTGGGATCAGACATCTTTTCCTAATAAATTCCTTTCCTGCTTAATAAGCTATTGGTGGTTTTCAGTGTGTGCATCCAAGAACTCAGACTGGTGAAATCATACTGTTTAATTGGCTTTTTTGTTATTTAGTTTCTTTGCGTTTCTAATGTAAGGAGTGCTGCAATGAATTAACCACAAAGGTTTTACCCCCTTATTTTCAAGATTATTTCCTTACTATATAGGTTCAATGGTGGGATTACTGGGTCTTAGGATAGATCTTGATATACATTTTCAAATTACTTTGCAATGGATAAGATGCTATTTCACTGAATCTTCCTTTGGACAACTGATACAGCAAGTAATAGGTGTTAGAATGATTTGTCTGACATTAGTGAGGAATGAGCTTTTTCACACACGTGCTTTTTTTTAGATAACAAAAGTTTGAGTTTAGAAAGCACAACCATATGTAATTGAAATCTTTCTAAAGTGCATCACATACTCCGTAAGCTCATCAAACTACAATCTCCAGGAATCTCCTGAGATGATGAGTTTATCTTGCCTCTTCCCTTGATTTCTCAGAAAAGTGTGCTTTTCTAACTGGAATTTTTCCACCTTTCCAGAGTCTGATGGCCAGTTAGTTCTCCCAGTGGCAGAAAAAACTTTTCTCTTTTTAACCATTTCCACATCCTTTGGCCTACCACTTGCATGGTCTGTGATTACTGGAAAAACAAAACAAAACAAAAGAAGAAGAAGAAGGAGAAGAGGAACAATTGAATTACTTCTGTTGCAAACAAAAAAAACCTATGCCTGTAAAATTGTCTATCATTTGTACCTGATGGGGAGGCTGGAATATGTTCCACTGTCATTGTTGGAGTAAAGAACTTAGACTTTGCAACAGCTGTGTTTTTTGGCTCTCTGGACCATTTTTTTGTGCCATTCATTGGTAGAGGTATGCAAGTCTCAATGCTGGAAATGGGGTAAGTTACAATTGTAACTTCAGGAGAGATTTCCTGCATTGCCTTTCTTTTTTTTTTTTTTTTTTTTTTTTTTTTTGAGACAGAGCCTCAAGCTATCCCCCTGGGTAGAGTGCCATGGCATCACGCTCACAGCAACCTCCAACTCCTGGGCTCAAGCGAGTCTCCTGCCTCAGCCTCCCAAGTAGCTGGGACCACAGGTGCCCGTCACAACGCCTGGCCATTTTTTGGTTGCAGCCATCATTGTTGTTTGGTGGGCCCGGGCTGGGGATTAGAACCCGCCACCTTAGGTGTATGTGGCTGGCGCCTTGGCCACTTGAGCCACAGGCGCCGAGCCTTATTTATTTATTTTTTTTTTTTTAGAGACAGAGTCTCATTTGGTCGCCCTGGATAGAGTGTCATGGCATCACAGCTCACAGCAACTTCCAGCTCCTGGGCTTGGGCGATTCTCTTGCCTCAGTCTCCCGAGTAGCTGGGACCACAGGCACCCACCACAATGCCTGGCTATTCTTTGTTGCAGTTTGGCTGAGGCTGAGTTTGAACCCACCATCCTCAGTATATGGGGCCGGCACCCCACTCACTGAGCCACAGGCACTGCTGCCCTTCTATAATTTTCTTTAATTGCCTACATTTTAAAGAATTTTTCTATTTATGTGTAATCCTAAAGCCCTTTTGCTGAATTTTCAAATCCATTTTTAATGAGCCAGCCCTTAATAGAAGAGCTCCAGCTGATCTTCCTCTTTCATACACCAGTGTTGATGTATATTATTTCTTATTCATAAACTTAGCTCCTTCAAAATAATCCATCTGAAGGACAATTTCAGCAAATTGTCCTCCATCCTGAATCATACATGCAAAAAAAAAAGCTGATGTAAAATCATAGACTCATTCTGAAATGAAACAATCTGATCTTTTATACGAAACAATAAGAATATGATTGCTAGTTTTTAAAAAATAAGTAGCAGATTTTATAACAAAAATGCCTGCAAATTATGAAAAGTAGTTCAAAATTTATCTCTGTGAATCCCTTCCCTTCCCTTTCTCTCACTTACACAATGAATGTGAATACTGTTTTAATGCCATTTGAAGAAAACAGAATCCTTTAGTTGAGAGAATGAGTATATAGGAGAACAGGTGTGAAAGCAAGTTCCATTTTTAATTGTATGCATTTTATCCCAAAGAGAATAATAGTCTTTTTTTTTTTTTGCAGTTTTGGCTGGGGCCAGGATTGAACCTGCCACCCCTCGTATATGGGGCCAGCACCCTCCTCCTTGAGCCACAGGTGCTGCCTGAGAATAATAGTCTTAAAAATAAAATCAAATCGAAATAAATATAAAATATAGGACAATCCAGTATAAGCCAACCGTATGTATTCCATATTCCATCCTAGTATTAGAGATATTTATTGTGTAGGTTCACTTGACCGAAATGATTATTAGTAAATATAGGACTTACTTAAATTTTTATTTTTCGCATATAACTAATTCTTTTTAAGTGACGAAAGAGAAAAGAAGGCAAGAGGAAAGATTTCTGATCCCAGAGGCAATCCCTTTCCTTCCCCTTCTCTGTTATAAAGTGGCGTTTGGCGGCCCAGTTCCCCATCCAGCAGAGCAGCTGTGTAGTGAGCAGAGGTGTGAGCAGGGAGGGGGCAGAGGCTGACAATGAGGATTTCACCAGCTCAGCACAGCTCCTCCGGTCTGATCTGCACATCAGAACCCAGAAACAAAAGCACCATCCTTTGCACTTTAACTTTGCCTAAGTATAGCAGGTAGCATATTTCTTTTCTTGTTCGACAATTTCATTCTTAAGGGCAACAACTTGATCTTCTAATTGTTTCAGTTGACCAGCTTTCTCTTGCCTACTTAGATTCAAATCTTGGATCTTCTTTTCTAAATCTGAAAGAGAAAAAGGAAAGAAAGATATGTTTCCATTTGATAGATTCTTCCCGGATATCTGCATCCCACCAAGCCCAGGGATGTGTGTGCCTCTTAAAGAGACGCTTAGTTTTGTGTTTTGATTCAATGCATGAATCATCTCTTTTCACCAGACCTCTCAGGGTTTTCACATAGATCAGAGCGAACTGACATTTTTGTCTAAAAACTTTTATATCTAAAGACATTTATCAATGTGAGTCTGCTGCTGCTTTGAATTTAGAAATGAAAAGACAGGGTGGTGCCTGTGTCTCAGTGGGTAGGGTACCGGCTCATATACAGAGGGTGGTGGGTTCGAATGCGGCCCTGACCAAACTGCAACAAAGAATAGCCGGGTGTAACAGCTCTGATTAGATTTGGTGAGGTGCTATATTTCCGTAGATTTGTTCTGATTATTTTAATTTAATTTTTAAACATGGGTTCTTCAGTGTTTTCCATTCTTTCAGAAAAAAAGAATGACATTTTCATTCCTTTTTCCTGTTGATATTAGCATCTCTGAATAGTCAAAGCAAAGTGATTCCTTTCTTAGCCCCACTTATCCATCCATTAATCCATTGACTCATTAATCTATCCATTCACCCATCTACTATGTCTTCATTTATTCATTCTTCATTCAGAAAACATCTGGGAATTCTAGCAAACCCCAGCATGGAGCCCCCAGAGTAGTGGATAAAGGAGGTGCAGAGAGCTACGGTTGCCAGCGTGAGGTGGCCTTTCTACAAGGCACTCCGACCTTGGGTAGCAGTGGGACTTGCTCTAATCACACCTGAGTGCTGATTTCGTTTGTCCATATGTTAAGGGGGAAGAGCCCGATTTCTGAAGAGATTTGAAATTGTCCTGTGAACAAATGTTGAATTAGTTGGTGATGTTTCATGTGGACAAAAGATTCAGGGCATGAGCCACAGCTGGTTTCAAGTATTTGAAGAGCCCGCTTAGGAAAGCAGATTACTGTGTTCTCTGTCATTCTAAGGAGATAAAGTGATATCCACAAAGGAAGAATTTGTCTGAATATAAAGAACTTTCTGTAGTCACAGCTGTTCCCAGATGAAGGAGCTGCTGGGGAAGGCGTGTGTGTTCCTCACTAGAAACTGTCAAATATCATTTGGGGCTGAAAAGGGGATTCAACATGGGGAATATATTTGGGCTAAAAAGGAAAAAAGACGCTGGTGTTTCAACCGGCTAAGTTAGTATGATCGATCTGGTTACTTTGTCTTTCCCCCCAGACCCATTCTCCATCCTGTTCTGTGTCCTGGAAAGCTAAACTCCCTGCAGGGCAGCACCTGGCTGCCTTGACCTCTGCCTTTCACTCGTATTTGGCTAGTGGCTATGCTGGCACATGACCACAGGGTGAGGACAGCGAGCAGTTCCCATCCCAGTTTGGCACCCGGGTTCTGGCTGTCCCATCTGAGCTCCTGCAGGGCGGCCTCCTCCCTAACGTGCCCCACAGGGCTCTGGTAACATCCCTGCGTCCCTTGTCCCTTCAGGCCTGGGGTGCTAATGGCTTCTCCCTGCTGCTAGTCACCTGGTCCTCCGCACGCTCAGCTGGTTTCCTCCATTCTCGTGCATTCTGTGTAGTTCTTCCCATCAACAAGGAGAATCTACTTACCCTCTCCCCTCACCCACGTCCCTGAACCTGGGCTGGCTTAGAAGTCGTTTTGACAAACACAAGTTAGAAGAAAGGATGATGCAGGATCTCAAGAACCTGGCACCTTCTCACTCTTGAGGAGCCCTGAAACAACCTGGCTATCAGGCAGCCTGACGTAACAGACCATGTAGAGGCCATGTCTGCAACTCAGCTCTGCCAGGCCCCACTCACCTGCCAGCTCAGCCATCAGCCGAGAGAAGCTGCCTGAGTGACCCACATGAGACCCACAGAGGAACCGCCAGGCCACCCACAGCAAAGTAAGAAAATCATTAATTTGGGGGTGGTTTGTTATGCGGTGAACAGGTAACTGAGACGACGCCATTTACAAATACACTGTCTGGAATTATGACCTCCACCCTCTCAACTTTGGTGCTTCCAAAGGCCCTTGACTGAGGCCCCACAGCACCTCTTTCTAACAGACAGGGACAGAGCATGGCCCTTGGTTATGCCCCTTCTCAAGTGGCAGAGTAGGGAGGGTGGCCAAATCAATGTCTTATTTTTCTACGTTGTTGAGTTGTGAAAACAGCCTTAAAATGAAAAGAGAAAAAGAAGTTAAATCCATTATTTTAGACCCCTTTGAGAAGTCCTCTAACTTAAAGTTCTCTTCTAATCTAATTTCATGAAATACAAAACTTCTACTTGGGAGGCTGAGGCAAGAGAATTGCTGAAGCCCAAGAGTTTGAGGTTGCTGCGAGCTGTGATGCCACAGCACTCTACCAAAGGTGACAAAGTGAGACTCTGTCTCAAAGAAAAAAAGAAATACAAAGCTTTTAGTTTTACCTTTGGACTCTGAGGTAAAACGTAGGACAGAAATATTGTCCCTGCGTTTTTGCTCCTATAGTAAGGCCCAAGGTCTGAGATAATAGAAACTGATTGTCATCGTAGTATCTATGGAATGTAAGATAAAAAAAGGTCTTTCTGAATCTTCCCTAGTATTTCCTTTTACACATTTTAGGGAAAATACTTAAAAATGAAAAAAAGAATATTACCCACAAATCCATTGCTTTTAAAATGATTATACAAGTGTAAATCTGGCTTCCTCTTTACTCCCCCCGCCTCCCCAGAGGTCACTAACGTTAGCAGTCTGGTCCGTACCTTCCCTGACTCTGGCCCATAGTAATGTTGCATTTCATTTTCTTCATGTCATAGCGATGATATACGTGGTTGTAAAGCCAAAGACTTATTTTCTAACAAAGAAGAGTTCATAAGTGAAGCATTGTGGTTACTTTAATATTTGAGCGTTACTTATATTCCTAATTAATATAATTAAAGTTTTGGGAGATAATAAATACAACCAAGAATAAAACTATCCACTCATAATTTGATATGTCTTGATGCTTTTAGAGGTAGTTGAGGTCATGATGATTGCCCAGAAAAATCACAAATATCAACAGTGGAAAACAAATATTCGAATTAGCTTTCTTATTGTTATGTGGTTTATATTTACTATACTATGTGTACATCAAAATGTCCATTTTGATTATTCTCATCCTTGTGTGCATGTGATTCCTTCTGGGTTGCTATCCAGAAATCTATGCTAGATGACCTAGTGCCTTAGAGCTGTGGTCCCCACCCCCCAGGCTGCAGACTGGTGCTG